CCCAGTTTTTCTGTGGAAAAGGAGCAGAAAAATGTTTTTCCAACATTTTCTAGACATTCACATTACTGCTACCCATTGGACCCAAGCATTAAGAAACAAAGTAGTGTTTTAAAAGATAAAATACAAGTCAATTTTTATAAAGAGAAAAATCCTGATCTGGTGACAGATTGTATGGCAGTTCAAATCTAGTTTTTTCCATTAAGAAGGCCTTTTCCTTTATTCTCACCAAATATATTTCACCTGGTGATGGGACATAGAAAAGATCCTATCTAGTACCCTGTCTTGTACTTTGCACCAAGCAGGAAGGGTTATATACAGTGTGGTAGCCTTCAATGCTCAATGCTTTCAAAGCAAGGATGCATAAAATACAACCTATGGCTGCATGAGCTAGCAAGCCCTTTCTTTCCATTCTCCAGTGCTCTCCCAATTTTTTTTCATGATAGTCTTTAGCATCAAAATTCACGAATGAAATGCCAAATCAAAGATGGCAATTTTATCATGTATTGGATCTCTCCTTTGTCTTTTTTACCCAGGAATGCATAGCCATCCATTGAAACCAGTGGAAGAATAGAGTGACATCTTTTGAAACACTGACCTCATCTAGGAACATTATGCCTGCCTTTTGGACCAGCTATAATTATTAGTTAATCTGTATGGGATATGAAGAGATTTGAATCTGTATTTAGGGATTTCAAGAGGCTCTCACTTGCTGGGAATCTTACTGATCCCACTACAGTGAGTCATTCAGTGGAGGTTGTCCTTGTATTCCTGTGACTGGATTATTTGGTGTGTGTTTATGTCAATAGAAATAATATCACTGAGGATTTTTTCTTTTAATTGTTGAGAATTGACTTATTCCATAGATGGTCCCTATGAAAGTCTTTTCTGTGTGCTCTTTTACTGGTGATTCCATGGGATATTTGGAAAGTGACAGATTTTCCTGTGCTATATTTAGTTGGTGCTCCTTCTATGTGTTTTTCTCCTTCAGTTCTGGGATTGTGTCTGATTCCAAAAAGATATAACTGGTGTTACTGGTAATTGGTATAGACTGTGACAGGCATGCTGGACAGTAGGACTTCTCTGACAATTTGCTGTGAAACCAAATTTAACCAAATTTAAAAATAGTGTTGTGGTTTCTGCTTGCTCACCACAAAACATAAACACATTGAAGTATTTATTTCCTCACTTGCAGGATATATTAAAGTGAAGAAAGATTACTGAATACACATAATTACAAAATATTTAAGTCATTACAAGAGAATTGTGTGTCTCTGTGTGGACTTTCAGGTTGTCTGCAAAATGGCTAAGAACAGCAGAAAAATATTAAACTTCTGTAGCCCTTGGCACCTCATTTCTTTTACATAAGCAGTGTGGACTCCACAAGTCTGGAGATCATGTGCTGATGTCAGAGATCCTATTGTGTTTCATACAAAAAGAGGGGGCAGCTTCTCTCCACTTCACATACTATCCAGGCTTTGAATTTGTTATGTTAAGGTTCTACAGAAGATAGAATGGTTGGAATTCAGATAGTTGCTGTGCCAAATATTTGAATACCAGACTAACACTGTCTTTGTGCTTCTGAATAAATTACTAAATGAAGCATTATTAAAATGTTTATCATTGTTGAATTTTTCTCTTTCTGACATGAGACAAATCTCCCTCATGTTTTAAGGTTCCATTGAAAGCATTTTTCTAGATCCCTGGTATGATTATTTGTCCATTTAGTGTCGCCCATTTACAGTTCAGATTAGAAAACAACACTCATATGTTTAATGCCTTTTATTGTAGTTTGTTCATTATTTTTATGTTTATTTATACCAAATGAGATACATCCGGTATCCAGTCTATGGGCCAGGAGTTTGTGGACCCATTGTTTATCACAATCAGCCCTTTAAAATATACCCAGAAACAAACTAGAAGCCAGTAGAGGTACTTCAACTGGGGTATTGTCTGCTCCCTGTAGCCAGCCCCAGTTAGCAACCTAGGTGCAGCTCTTTAGACCCATTTCCAAGCACTCTTCATGTTAAGCACAGTTACCTTTAAGTAGCAGTTATCTTTAAGGTAGTGTATAAAGAAATTAGTAAATGTTAAAAGGATCAATACAGTACTTTAAATAATTTGATGTTCTTAATCATTTTCACTTATCTTTCCCTTCTCCCAGGAAATGGGTGGGTAAGGGGAAATAGGCAGAATTTGTGTGGAATTCTATTAATCTGAATTGTTGTTTCAAATTGTGACACCAAGTGAATATCCCTTATTCTTAGAGCAGTACAGGAAAAAAAAATAGAGGTGGGGTTTTCCAAGTCAATGTCTCCCGTGACAGTTCTCCTTTAAGTTGTTGTATGTCTTTTTAAGTAAAATGCTGTCTTAAAAATCAATGAGTTGAAACCTATTTATTGAAAAATAGTTACTGGTATTTCGTAACTTGCTTGGCAAAACCAATTGGCTGTCAGGCCATTCAGCAAATGTCATGTTCTCATTTGGCAAGTGTGTGTCTTGGAGTGTGAAAGTTAGTTTTTTTTTTTTTTTTTTACATAAAAGGAACCTAATGTTTGTTATTGTGCACCAGATTCCATGTGGCACAGCCTGCAGGCAGAATTCCCACCATTCTTGAGATGGACAGCTTAACATTCTGGGTCCAATAATTTCTCCCATTTTGTCTACAGGGAGGAGTCCTAAATAATTTAATCTGAGACATTATGGTTCCTCGTGTGGTGTGCAGCTTCAAAGCTTTTTCTTTTTCTTCTTGCAAGCCAATTGTCAGCTACGTTGTTTTAGTTTTGTCTTCTTTAACTGACATCAGAAACTCCTCTTTCAATTCTGCTTCTTCAGCTATTTTGATATATGCCATAGATATTATCTGCCTTTAAATTTTATCCTAACTTGTAGAAATATTACACTCTCCACCCCCAAGCTACATTGCAGCTCAAACAATTTTGCAGAATGAAAAACAGAGTCCCAAGTTCTCTTCCAGATGGATTCTTTCTAACTTCTTAATTCTGCCCAAGCTTACTACATAATAAAAAGAATCCTCTTGGCATGCTATGGACTACTATTGGGATTTAAAAGGAGGGGTTTTTTTCTGGAAAAAAACACCTTTCTCCTGAAATTCAGATTTTTTTTTTCATAAATCAGATTTATTTGGTGATGTTTTATTTATATACAGGCAGTCCCCAAGTTACGAACAAGATAAGTTCTGTAGGTTTGTTCTTAAGTTGAATTTTTATGTCAGTCAGAACAGGTACATTTTAAATTCCAGCTATATAGGGGGGGGGGGGGGGGGGAGCTTTGGATAGCATAGGGAAGGTTTAACACCTCTGTGGTGTTTCTTTTTCTGTTCAGAAGATTTCACCTCACTTTCCATCCCTGTGATAGTTGGATTTTGGAAAAAAAAATCCTTTATTTGGAAACAAGGATTGGTGCTAAAGCTTCAGTGGAGACACCTTTCCCCCATGATCACTCTTTCAGGGGTGTTTTTCCCTTCCTATGGGTAGATTTTTCTCAATTCATGTTGTCTCACCCCAGTTGTTAACTATGAGTTGTTTGTAAGTCGGATGTTTGTAACTTGTGGACTGCCAGTATATGGAAAAACGTGCTGGGAGTAATTTCTTCCCTTGATTAGCTAAATGCAAATATATAACAGTGAGTTAAAAGTTAAATGTGTCTTTTGAGAGTTTTCTTAACTATGAGTCATTTGTAAGCTGGATGTTTGTAACTTGGGGATTGCCTGTTCAGTGTGTGGTCACTTTTTCAGGATTTTACAGTGTTTGTCATTCTTTCTCTGCAGTTCAGTCTTAGGCCCAATGAAGAGTGTGTTACTAAAACGCTAATTCTCTGGATCATATTTTCTATGAGGCTCTCAAAAGGTGTGTGTCTTAGAATACTGTCTACATTTTCCAGACAGATGTAGCAGTTAATGGTTATTAAGCTGAATATAGATCTCGACATTTTATAAAACCCTGCATTTTTGAGCCAGTGACATAAACTCTCTTTTGGCATTTCAGTGACAGGGATATCCAAGTTATATTCAGCAAGATTTCTTTTGCCATTCTGTTATTTTGCTGCTGTGATAGACATTGGATTGCTGTAAAAGAATTGGATAGCATAGCTTATCGGCTATTTCAGCTTCCCATATATTTTTGATGAAATGTAAGCCACTCTTCATTTACAAGAACTGGTTGTTGTTTGAAATTGAAGGTTACAGTGTAAAACAGATGTTTATGCACTACTCGCAATTGATAAACAATATAGCACAGCGCTTCGTAATGGTATATTAATGCAGAAACAAAAGCAATAGGACCATAAGTGTGTATTTTGCCTCACGAAAAATTGTTATGTCTATGTTACACTGACATCTAGTATTCATGGTGTTTTCTTACCAATTTAGGTTTGCTGTTCTTACTGGGGAAAATATTTCAACCTACATTGGCACAGAATAGCAAAACTTCTTTTTCCAGGGCCAAATCTGGGTCAAGGTGATATTTTAGCAGATAATGCAAAATGTATTGAGTTGCATCTTCTTATACCACTGCAGATGAAAGTGAATGATGAAAGAGCTATCCATACATCTGTAACAGTAGCATGGAGTCCTTGGTAACCAAATTGCCATTCCCCTGTCACTCTATTTGCCTTTCCATCCTCCCCTTTGGAAAGCCACCTTCATGATGTGCTTCTGCTTCTCAATTATTTTTGCATGTTTACTTGTGTTGTAATGTCTTTTCCCCCTTTCTAGTAAACTGCCTGTGGTTCTGAGCAAAGTCACATCCGTTATTGGCTGATTTATGCTAAGTCTTCAGTATCTGCCCCTTTGCTAATTGAAGAACATTGCATAGCTGCTCGTTACGCATGCTAGTGGAAGACTGGTTGCATTTGAATTAGATCAAAATTGTTATAATTTTTAACTATATTTGCTGATATAGTTTATAATTGTAATTGTTATTCTTCCCCAATTTTTAAATGAGAATTCTATACTTAACACGTCCTTTGTTTCATTTTTGCAGGTAGCTACTAACATAATCACAATGAAGGATCATCCTTTGACTGGAAGCCAAGTCAAAGTTGAACAGTTATTTGAAGACTCTGGTAACAGAAGGAGTAGTACTCTTCAGTCCTCTGGCATAAATGGCTCCGAAAGGTCTTTTCCAAGTCCAGCGAAAGATAAAAGTATTGACAGTATAACTGTATCCAAAAACAGTGGCAGTTCAACAAAAGCACATAAAACTGGTAGTCAGTCTCCAGATCAAGCCCTGAAGCAACACAAACAGCAGTTAACAGTCTATGAGCAACAAGAAATACTTAACTTCCCGGAAATTTATTTTGTGGGTCCAAATGCAAAGAAAAGGCAAGGAGTCATTGGTGGTCCAAACAATGGGGGATATGATGACGAACAAGGCAGCTACATCCACGTGCCTCATGACCATCTTGCCTACCGATATGAAGTACTTAAAATAATTGGAAAAGGCAGTTTTGGCCAAGTAGCTAAAGTTTTTGACCATAAACACCACCAGCATTTGGCCTTGAAGATGGTAAGAAATGAAAAGAGGTTTCACAGGCAAGCAGCAGAAGAAATACGGATTTTGGAGCATCTCAAAAAACAAGATAAGATGGGTAGCATGAATGTCATTCACATGCTAGAGAGTTTTACCTTTCGAAATCACATATGTATGACCTTTGAACTCTTGAGCATGAATCTATATGAACTGATCAAAAGAAATAAGTTTCAAGGCTTCAGTTTACAGCTTGTACGCAAATTTGCCCATTCTATATTGCAATGTCTAGAGGGTCTTTGTAAAAACAAAATCATACATTGTGACTTGAAACCTGAAAATATTCTTCTAAAACAGCAAGGACGAAGTGGCATCAAAGTAATTGATTTTGGATCCAGCTGTTTTGAGCACCAAAGAGTCTATACTTATATACAGTCTCGATTCTACAGAGCCCCAGAAGTCATTCTGGGAAGTCGCTATGGGATGCCCATAGACATGTGGAGTTTTGGTTGCATTCTTGTGGAACTGTTGACTGGTTACCCACTCTTTCCAGGAGAGGACGAGGGGGATCAGCTAGCTTGTATGATGGAGCTACTTGGGATGCCTCCTCAGAAACTTCTGGACCAGTCCAAGCGAGCCAAAAACTTCATTAATTCTAAAGGTCATCCTCGCTATTGCACTCTGACCACACAGCCAGATGGGAAGGTGACTCTTAATGGCAGCAGATCGCGTAGGGGTAAAATGCGAAGTGCTCCGGGTAACAAGGACTGGGTTACAGCTCTGAAAGGCTGCGATGACCCCTTGTTTATAGAGTTCTTAAAAGAATGTCTTAATTGGGATCCTTCTGCACGAATGACTCCGAGCCAAGCTTTAAGACATCCTTGGATTTGTAAACGAGTACCTAAGCCACCCAGCACAGATAAAACATCAGGCAAGCGGATTGCTCATTATACAAGCTCTTTCCCAGGGCTAGGTTCCAGATTGCCCCCAGTAATTGGGGTAGCCAACAAACTGCGAGCTAATCTAATGTCCGACACAAATGCCAATATACCTCTATGTACTGTCCTACCCAAATTGGTCAGCTAATAGAGAATTACATATTCCCAGAATACATATGCTGTGTTTTTAATTATCTCCATTAAATAAAAAAGAAGATGAAATGCAAAGGGTGGGGGGTGGGGGCGGAGGACTGAAAATAATTTTTATTGAACAGTATATCTTGTATAAAAAACTGAATCAGAAATAAGCATTTTAAGGGCTATGATTGTTTTATCAAGTCATTTCAGCTGGAATGTAGTGCTTGTTACATCACTTCTGGTAGGTCAGCACATTTGTTTTGTTCAAAGAGGTTATGCACTGTGTAACAGATGGATTTTATAGCACCGTTGTAATAAAACTCAAAAACCACTTAACAGTCTCACTTAAGGGACAGTTTACTGCAAACCAGTTGAAAATAAATAAGCTATGCACCTGAGTGATCAGCTGAAGAAAAATCACAGAATAATGATCAAAGCACAAGTTTTTAATATATTTCTGCTTCATACATTAATGTAATGGCATATAGACCATAACAGCAAAGGAGATGTTATGAAGTGAATGGTCTTGGGGCTCTAGGTTTCATACATTTTGTTTTATTTTCTTCTCATTGAATTCAGTGGATTCATCTTCGCAATTTGGTATAGGTATATGGAGATAGACATACATCCAGAATTAATTCCTTACTCAGCAGAATAGGTTGATCTTAATTGTAATCATTTATAATGCTTTGAAGGATAGACAGTGCATTTTTCAAGTTCCAGCCTCATAACTAGAAGTTTGGGCAAGTTAGAAATTCAAATGATTAATTGTAAAGATGCACCCTGTGTCCCTGAATAATTTGGTGTTTCTAAAAAATAGCAGTATTTGAATACTGGAAAATATAAAATATGAACAGTAATTTTCATGGTATAGAAATGCTTGCTTCTGGGTTTAATTCTGTACCATATCTTATACCTTAGGTATGTATTTGCAAATGCAAGTAGTTTTTGCTAGTTCTTTTAAATAGTTTTACATGTAGCAGAGACATGTTTTATGAGCAAGTGGTTCAAGCATATGCTTTTCTCTGAATGAGGCTTCTTGTTGAGAGAAAATGAAATCGTTGTGTACCCAGTTAAAAGAGCTGTTAGTTTAAACTCGTGTTAGATGTTGACCATTTTTTAAATTTCTTAACAGTTACTTACATTCTATTTTCTGCATTGTTTTTTTTTTTTTTGCCTATTCTGGAAGGTTGTTTCACGTTTCAAGAATCATAGCCAGTCACTGAGAGACAAATTTACTTCAACATTCTGTAATAACACATATAAGCAAAATACCATGCAAACATTTCTTCTGTTCTGCAGTCCTATGTCCATTTCAGTTTGCACTGAGTTGGGGTTACCTAGATGCCCACTGATTAATGTCACAAGTTTTGTTTCATATACTCATCATGCAGTTGAGTTTTTACTTATTTAGAGATTAAGTACTTCTTGCTTTTATTTGACTTTTGATAGGCAGTTCTGCAGGGATGTTTCATGGTTGTTTCCAACAGTTCATTGCATTTTAAAATAGAAAGATCTCTTTTAGTCAAGGCCTACTTAACATTGAGCAATGGCATTTAAAATGGTGTCTGGTTTATTCGTTCATTCGCTTCCGACTCTGTGACTTCATGGACCAGCCCACACTAGAGCTCCGTTGGCCATCATCACTCTCAGCTCCTTCAGAGTCAAGCCAGTCACTTCAAGGATATCATCCATCTACTTTGCCCTTGGTTGGCCCCTCTTCTTTTTTCCTTCCATTTTCCCCAGCATCATTATCTTCTCCAAGCTCTCCTTCTCATTGTGTGGCCAAAGTACTTAATCTTTATCTCTAATATCCTTCCCTCCAGTGAGTGGTTGGGCATTATTTCTTGGAGTATGGATTGGCTTCATCTTTTTGCGGTCCAAGGTACTCTCAGAATTTTCCTCCCAACACCACAGTTCAAAAGCATCTATCTTCCTTCACTCAGCCTTATGGTCCAGTTCGCACATCCATAGGTTACTACGGGAAATAGCATTGGTTTAACTGTGGATTTTTGTGGTGTCAAACTGTGTAAATGGACCCTTGCTGAGTTCAGTAGGGTTTTTCTCATGTAAGTGTGCATAGGATTTAAAGAAAAGAAAACCTTTTTTGGTTATTTTATTTCTTTCTGAGACTATTTGGGGCTTTAAACTTAAAATGAACTGAATTTAGTGAAATGGAATTCAGTTACAAGGGAAATTACCTACATGTAATGTTTTTTTCTGTAGATCTGTTTTCAGAGAGGGGTGGTAGTCCTGTGATTTACCCAACCCACATAAGCTACATTTTCATGCCATTTTGCGGAAGTTTAGAATCCACTAAATACTGCCCATAAAGTTGGTAGTGGTATTGGCAAAAAGCAATTGATATTGAAATTTTCTGTTACCGTTAGATCAAAAACAAGTACATTTTTTCATACACTTCTTTGTATAGGGAGAATTAAAATTTGTATAGGGAGAATTAAAATCAGCATCATGGGTACAGAAAGAAATTACATACAATTGGACAAGATTAGCAGTTTTAGTATGATATTAGAAAGCATCTATATACATTTCTATGTAGCACAATAGCTAAAGATTTCCAGGTAGTTTAAATATTAATGTTTCAATTATAGACATACCAATATCATAAAACATAAAAAATAAAATCTAAACAGAATGGGATATGGTTTGGTTACGTATTCATACTTCATTATAACTAGTGTCATGCCTTCATCAAGAAGCCTGGTAAAATGTAATTTCCCTCCATGATATCTGCGGGTTACTTAAACTTAGCTGTGACAGCTGTATTGGTAACTGGTATAGGTGGTAAAGTTACTGACTTCTCAGTTTCTATCTAGTTAAAGTAATCACCAGAATGAAATCCAGGCCACTTTGGGGAACGGAATATATCTTCTTCATAAAGCCCTTATTCACTTTTATCCAAATAAAGAGAATAACAGATATATTAATAAGCAATGTTGCACCCTAATGTTTCCTTTCTTCCAACAACCTCATCAAAACCGGGGACTTTCCAACCATCTTTCCCTTTTGGACTCAAAGGGCTCAGAGATTATGATCTGCTGATCTTAAGAGAACAAGTAAAAGGCTGATTGTGCAATCAAAGCTTTGTGTTGAAAGATTAGCTGCAAAGTTCCCTTGCCTAGAATAGATTGCTAGAGCTGTGGAATTGAAGAGCTTAAATGTCTCTTGAACGATGTGCACTTCCTACTTACTCTATGTAAGAAGCATAAAGCAATTGCTAAAGGATTGTGTGGCTATTTGTTCTAAGAGGGCAAATACACCCTGCCCCCAAGATCCTTGGCTCTTATCCATCACTGTTAATGATGGAAGTCAGTAGCTCTACAGACACTAGGTTTTGTTTTTTTAATCTCTAACTAATGAGTGGGTTTGCTGCACTGAGTCAGAATTGAATTAGATGGTCTATGATGCTGCCCATAAGAACACACAAGGATTTTCACTTGAGATCAATTTCTGTTAATCTGTGTTGTGCTTGATGAGGCTTTTTGCCTGAATTATGACAGTAGCAGCAACACAGGCCACATAATGAACTCAACTGAGTACATATTCGAATGAGAGAACTTTGACTTAAAATGCCCATTGTAATCTGTGCTCTTATTATTAATATTTTCAGTGCCATAAAAGATCTCCAGCCAGGAATGTCCATTGATTATGTTATTTTTTAGCCAAACTTCAGAAAAAGTTTTGTTCATATGGGGAATATTTGTCTTATTTAGGTTCTACTTTATTAGTCATGATACATATTGTTTCCTTTTTTCCAAGGAAATGTCTTAAATCTCTGGAAATGTCAAATGCTCAAAGAAGTCATCAATCGCCTTATAAAGGACTGACAATCTGGTGCCTTTGAGATGATTTTTTCTGCAATTCGCATGTTTCCTGAGTACTGCGTAATGGCGATATAGCTGAAAACATTTTGTTGGCACCAGGTTGTCTACCCACTTCCATGAAAACAGTGATGACAAAGATACCCTTTTCAATCAGTGAAATTGACTAGTAAGTGTGTTGCTGCTAAAATAACAGTTTAATTTTTCCAGTTCTTATTCACCATGCCTTATCAAACCGATCTGCATCTATTTTCACTTAGTTTCTTGTATGTTGCAAAATGACAGGTTAAAATCTGTCTAACATTCTTGCCAATCTGCTTTGTATATTTTTTTATTTTGAATGTTGAAATGAAACAACATGGTGCAAAATATGGTAAATGCTGAGCTGCGTGGTAACCCAGAATAATCTCTGGAGGAACACTTAAGAGGCAGAGTACCAATATATACGTGTAAAGTTGTAGCCTCAGGCTGTATGTACAAAATATAGTGCAGCATCATTTTGTGCTTACTATTTTTGACATGTTTGAGGTGCCTAAGTTATCTCAAATCCATTAGTTTTTAGGCTGCACCTTCCTTATAAAATTTTAATGGAGAAAATATATGGATGGATGTATCAATGTAACAGTATGACTGAATGTAACTGAAATAAGTCCAAACACCATACCTAAACTAGAAAAATTAACCTACACATATGCGATTGTGACCTGTTAAATTTTCAGGAAAAATTCACATAATTACTAATTCTACATTAGATTCATAGCCAATTTTCTCCCTTTTTCTTAATTTCTTGTGTCAGTCTGGGCAGTTCACACATGGCTTCAGAGGAAGGCACTTGCAAATCCGCAGTGAACAAATCTTGCCCAGAAAACCCTACTATCACCATTAGTTGCAAATTACTTGAAGGCACACAAGACTAAATAAGCAACCCATTTGTATCATTGTTTATAATGTATGTGTCTTGATCAGCACAAAACAAGAGCACACATCACTAGAATTCAACATATTGACAATGTTTTCCTACAAGTTTAAAGCCGTTTTAAACAAGAGTGGACAAAAGGAAGTCTGGATGTTCTGTGTTTAAAACCATTTCTCATCCATTTCTTAACAATAGCAGTAACTACAAAAAAAACTTTCCTGCAAATTAGAATGTGGGGATTAAAGTCTTGTGTCTTTGTCTGAGCAGGGCACACCTGTTCAATTTCAAGATTGTAGTAAAGTGCAAAGTAGATTCCACAAGCCTGAATCTGTTTGCCTCTGCTAGACAAAACAAAAACAACTTGAGGAAGTAGGAGTATTTGGCTAAATCTGAAAGGGGGAGGATTTATGCCCTGCTTACATTTTGCCACTAGCCTTGAAGCAGAATAAAGAATTAAGAAAGGTATTTCACCGCTCTAGCATATGTACAGTTTTTGCATTACACCCAGAAATGGAAATGAGTTTAATTGGCATGGTTACTCGATTATGTACATAACTTGCTTGTTTATTGATG